GCTGGAGGAGAAACAGGAGGGCCGCTAGCCTGGCTTTGTTACCAGCCCAGACTACTGTACCCCAGCTTCCTCTCCTGCAGGCTCTCCCTACAACGTGGGGACGATTTTCTGCTTTGTAGTAGACGTGCTACCAGGCAAATAGAAAAAGAAAAAGAGGGAAACGAGAGAGAGAGAGAGAGAGAGAGAGAGAGAGAGAGAGAGAGAGATGTCAGGGGCCGCAGCCCAGCCAGAGCAGCTGCCAGGCCCGCCCAGCATCCAGGCTCTGTGGTCTCCAACGCGGCTGCTGCGGCGACCGCTCTGGCAGCAGCTGCAGGGAGGCGCTGCTGGTCCCCAGCCGGCGCTCGCTGGGGTCAGAATGGGGAGTCCCTCTAGCTCTCATCTTCTGAGCAAGCAAATTCTTCACATTCCTGCACTGGGGCCCTATGGGCGTCAGCTGACCCGCAGCTAGCGCCCGGGTCCCAAACCTGCCACCTCCGGGGAAACCCTAATCGCTCGGGATGTGTTCTAGAAGGTGTCCCAGAGCTGTCTCCTTCAGGCCTCTCCTCCCGCTTGTCTGCCTGAGGATCTTGCACACCCAGGCAACCCTGGCAGGGTGCAGAGCCTAAAGAGGACCATCATTTTCAAAGTTGATGGGACAAACCCGGGCTTAACTTGAGATGGGGAACCAGTCCTGAGGCTTAAAAGAAGATGAAGAAATTAGGCAATTTCACTATTAGCGGAGGCAGCGTTATGACCCTTTTTGTTGTAAAAGGGACATAAATGTAGCTGCAGATTGAATGAAGTTATAGGCCATAAAAGGGCAAGAGAGAGAAGGGAAGAGATAATAGGCGCTGTCCATCTGCGCCTCTTAGCCTCCCCGTGTCAGACCTCCTCAGCAGTGTTGGTGGCGAACAGTCTGCCGACAATAACGAATGGGGGAAGGCGGAAGGATAAATGCCACCGAGCGCGGCCGTGCATTTTAGAGTGGCGACAATTGCTGTTTATTTGCTTTTCGTTTATGAAAATGACAAAGGGCAAGGTTATATGTGAGACACATCTCCACACTGTGGTTTACTCGAGGTTTTGGGGAATCAAGGTGACTGGAAGCAGCCAACTTTCATTTCTTTGGATATGGAAAATATTTATAATATTTTCTCTAAAGTACAAATTTTTCCTTGTTAAATACTTTGGCAGAAACAAATTCAACAACTTGGGGACATTTAGTGAGCCTGTTTCCCTTTACCAATCCTATGTTAAGACCAGTAAATTCTGCTCAACGTTTGTGATAATTCCTGTTTATGAAGTTCAGGTCTGCTGTGCAATTATAGATTTAAAAAAAATATGTTTGGACATTTCAGTTCTTAAAATTTTAGATACTGTTTATTTGCTGGAATAGTAAGTAGATGTACTCTTGTGTTTCATTTCTTGGTCTAAGGTTAAGTCCGATAAGGTCAAATCTGGGGAATTCCCCACAGCCTGACCTCTACTACACTCACAGCCCAGAAAAGGGGAGCGATTTGGTTTAGACTGAACAAATGAGATAATTGTCAGTTTGTTTTATATATATGATAGCTGTTTTCAACTAAATGGGGAAATGCAACATTTTAGGGTGAAAGATGTTGTGTGATAATACCAAAGTGATAATTAATAACAAAAGTAATAGGGTACTTTGAAATATTAATATGGATCATGTTTTAATTTTTGGTTACTCAAAATGGAGTAGAATATGTACAGATAATAACACATTCATCATAAGTCAGAGTGATTAAGGTATACTAGAAAAACAGCCATATGGCATTTATGTTTAAATCATTTTTTTCCAAATATCAGCAACATGTTGAAGCATTTCATAAACCCTGAAAATTTTTTCTTAAAGGATAGAGAGTTGAGAGTATCAGAACATTTAATATCATGTATTAATGAGAGACTAAAGGAAATTTTATGAACTATATGAGATTAAATGAAAGCCTATACCTTATTAAGTATATTATTTTTTGCAATTTTCAAAAATGAAAAAGGATAAATGTTGATATTATGTTGTGATTTTTACAAATAGGATTTTTATGTTTCTGATTTCATTCAGATATGTTATGTTCCATGTTTTTAAATTTTTGAGATATTTTTGAGGCTTCAATTAATTTACATATGGAGCTTTGTTCCTTATTCTTTCTTTTCATTAAGAAAAAAATCAAAGAATTATTTATTCATGGACTGATTACAATTTGTAATATCACTATTCTTCACTAGATACACATTTGACATCATTGTATTTCTATAAAATAATATGAAATAAGAAACTGATTTCTCATAATAAGAAACATACGTTTTAACTACAAAGTTTAAAAAATACACATTATTTAAAATGTAAAATGAAATTGTATTTCTTTAGAGTCAAACAAAAGCTCTCTAAATGGAGATGCAGGGATTTCTTGGGCTTTGTCTAAATTTAAAGTGCCCTCTACTGTCCAAAGACTGTACTACTTGAAGAGAAAATGACAAGCCTGAAATCGCAACCTAGACAGGTAGAGACAGAAGAAAGGGAAGACTGTAGACAATATCATTGCACTTGGCCTGGAGCCACTCAGTGTGCATGACTCCATTGGTAGAGAGCTTTGCTCCGTTCCCAAGTAAAAATCTCCATTAAAATTATTTGTAACTTTACCATGTTTGTGGTCTCTGTTGCCCCTTAGTTTTGCCTTTAAAACTGAAATTCTACTGTGGTTTCACTGCAAGAGTTATAGTGGATAGACAAGGAATAGATAGTCTGTCAGTCTAAACATCAAAACTTACCACTCTCATATATCGATTGTTAAGGAAGATTACCCAGGATGCTTTTTTTCTATATACTTCTATATCAAGATACCTTCTTCTTTTTCTTCATCCTTGTCTTCCTCTTCTTTGTCATCGTTGTTAGAGTTATATCTATTTCAATTTTTTTTTAAAAGATGGATGTGGTAGTACAAAGCTCAATAATCAGTTAATTCTTCAGGGAGATTTTTTTAAGAACCTACCAAGAGAGTACCTATTTTGTTGTTCTCTCTTTTAAAAGCATTTAAGCATCCTCTTAATCATGATGTGTGCAAGTTTAGTAAGCTTGTTATAATCTTTCATTTCAAGGAAGTCACCTATTTAAATTTGTTATAAAAATTCGTGTGGAATAGATTATAGAATGAAAAGTTAAATGCTATCATCTAAAATGAATTGTATTTTGCATTGTACTACTAAGCAATGAAACTTGAGATTTGTTCAGAATACAGGTGGCAATTTTAAAATGTCTTGTTGTGTTAAAAGTATTTTATAACATTGCAATATAATATATTTTTAAAAGATTTTGATTGGATGGGTAATGCTGAATGAAATCAGTAATTTGCTGTAAATTTAGAGATGTGATGCAATGGAGGCAGAGAAAGCTTAATTTGTCAAGTCCACAATATAGGTAATGGGTCTAAATTCAATGGTTTAGGAAGTATTTGGTCAACATTATAAGCAAAAAAAATAGAGAAAGGTAATTTGGGAGGAAATTTTATTAATTGTCCAGTACATTGTCAGCTTAATCAACCCCTAGGAATTTAACATAGATGCTGATGGTCAGGAAGGACACAGCAGGATGATAGCAAGCTAACCATAGCCTCTAGCCAACTGGACCCAAGCTGACTTCTCCTTTCCAGTGCTGCCCTTCCCTGTCTTGTTTAGTTCCTCTTATTGACTTCTTTTTTTTTTTTTTTTTGGTTTTTTTTGAGACAGGGTTTCTCTGTGTAGCTTTGCGCCTTTCCTGGAACTCACTTGGTAGCCCAGGCTGGCCTCGAACTCACAGAGATCCGCCTGCCTCTGCCTCCCGAGTGCTGGGATTAAAGGCGTGCGCCACCACCGCCCGGCCCCCTCTTATTGACTTCTAACCTGACTACTGCACAGATGGCTGTCCTTGTTTTCTTCTCTATGGGAAGGGCACTTTCAACTAGAATTCCATAGTGTGCTTTCCTGCTAAGTGGTGACCCTATTAGGAAGATTCCAATGACCAAACAACAACAGAAAACTAAAGGAAAGAAAGAAGCCGATCCTATCTCAAAGCAGAGCTTCTTCAGCAGTGGAATTGAAGGCCAGGGTAGAGGAGTCACCTACCAGGTAAAACAACATTCCAGTATTTAAACATTGGCATTGCTGGCACCAAGCAAGCTGGTCTTTTCAGTTTTCAGAAAAATCCAGCATATTCAACAAGTCTAAGTATTTTGTCTACTTAGGAGAAATTTGTTGAACCAAGTGTACAATATGAACTAGCCTAATTTATTAGAATTACCATTTCTCTTGTTTAGTATTCAGTTACTTTCTACTTGTTGGGAAAGAATTATACTGTAACATTGTTTCTAGATTCCATTTACACCCTCCATTTAAAAAAATCTAATACTCTGGTGCACTATGTGGTTCACTACATTCTCTATGTATTATATATCCTTCCCCTTCTCCAATCAAGTCTTTTATACATTCAATTAAAGATAGTCTAATTACTATTTAAACTAATACATACCCTTATTCTTGGACACACTCTTTCTTGTTATGAGTGTATTTAGCAAAACTTGAAATCAAAGAGCTTAACTTTATCTAACCAGTGAGGTGCGAAGGGTAACTTGGAGCTTTTTCTTCTAGGATTATGCATTTTGTGTTAGAATGATGTTACAGAGATGGAACTAACCCAATGTTTTTCGAAGAGACTGGTTCTCTCTCTCTCTCTCTCTCTCTCTCTCTCTCTCTCTCTCTCTCTCTCTCTTATATTATGGGAGCTGCTTATTTTTATTTTTTTATTTTTTATTGAAAAGAGATTCTTCTCTCATACCATACATTCCAACCACACTCTTGCCTGATACCTGTTCCCTCTCCTCTCCTCCAGATCCACTCCTCCTCTGTCTCCCATCAGAAAGGAGCAGGCCTCCAAGAGACAACAAGCAAACACAGAAAACAAAATACAATAAGACAAGGCAAAAGTCCTCACACAGAAGCTTCACAAGGCAACCCAATAAGAAGGATCCAAAGAGCAGGCCAAAGAGTCAGAGACAGACTTTTTCCACTGTTAGGAGTCCCACAAAAAGACCAAGCTAACAGCCGCTACATGCTACATAGAAGCAGAGGACCTAGTACAGACTCATGCAGGCCACATGCTTGCTGCTTCAGTCTCTGTGAGTTCCTTTGCACCGGCTTAGTTGATTCAGCGGGCAGTATTCTCCCAGTGTCCTTGATCTCCTCTGACTCCTATGGTCTTTCCTTTTCCTCTTCCAGGGGATTCCTTAAGCTTCAAAGGGAGGGACCCGAAGGAAACCTCTGATTTAGACTCTCTCTGCCTAATGTTTGGCTGTGAGTCTCCACACCGCGTTTGCTGCTGGAGGAAACCTCTCTGATGACAACTGGAAACAGAACGGATTTTGCAGATGGACTGGGGTGCACATGGAAAGAGCAGGAGAGATCAGCTGGGAGGACACGGAGGGAGAAAGTGCAGAGAGAGAGAGAGCTGGGACTGGGGAGCACTAAGGGGACAGTGTGGAAATGAGTGCAATGGAAACTTTCTGGGAGCTGCTTATTTTTTAAAAACTGCTCATCTCAATTTTCTGAAAGCTTTTGTGGGTTGCAAAGTATACTTCCAATAGATTTTATTTTTGCTTAAGTTAGCCAGTAAGCTTCTTTTGTTTGCAACCAAATAAACCTAATTGCCACGATGCATGCCTTCCTCAGAGAGCAACTTACAGATTCTCAGATGCAGTTTTTATGAGGTTCATCCTCTCTTTTTTCATAGTATGGAAGCACACGCATGTGTGGTTCTTGGCCCAAGCCAACATCTTTCTTGAACAAGAAATGAGTACACAGTCCAGAGACACTTCATGGTCAATATATTTTACCAAAGCATTGATCAATTATCTTTATTCCCATGAATCACTGAGCTTTGTGTCTAGATTTGTTGATGTAACTCTTACCTTCTTCATCCTCAGAATCTAAAACTAAGAAAAAAATTGTAAAATAAAAATAATGTGTAAAACACAGATCAAGTAATTTCAGAAAAATGAACTATTATTAAGGAAAAATATTTGTTGCATACACAGGTGCTAAATAATATAAATTATATATAAGATGAAGTGAAATTTGTTGTTTTATAGCACAGCATACTTGGATTTGATGAATTTATGTATCTTCATAAGTAATGATTGTTTACAACTTAAAAACATAGATTGGAATCCTTACCTTTTCCTTATGATGCCTGTAGTAAAGAGAAGAAAAATATGAATTCTAGAAAATTGCCTTTCCTTTAAAAACAACAGTAGCAAAGCATGACACATTTAATAAAGGCTTGGTTGTAGACTTTCTTCATTCCTGAGAACCAACAAAAATATCTCAAGGGACAGATCATTAAATGTTACCGCAGACAGCATCTCTGGAGGCATCTCTGAAGGTGGGAGGCACTTATTAGAAGGATGTTTAGAAAGCTCTGGCTGTTGTCTCAAAAATCATTCCTGCAGAACATAACAGGATAGTTACCAAGCATTTCTGAAAGCTGTGTATCACTGAAAAGATTCTGTTCATTAGAAATATAGTAAGTTATAAATGGTAAAGGCAGAAAAGGGGTAAGTTGTGGGAATAAAGTATAAATTAAACATGGGAAGCATATTGTAACCATCAGAAATCATTTGGTATATATTACCTTATTATTTTGTATGTGTGCTGAGATCTGGCAATATACCATAGTATTAGTTCATGCTTCAATTTATACTGAAAAAAAGAGAAAAAAGAACAAGGGAAGAAAAAATATGGAATAAAAAGGTCCATAGCATGCTGTTTTCTTATTCTCATTTTTCATTTTGCATTATTAGTTAAACCTTCTGACATTCATAACATAAACCAAGTTTAGAAGCCTTCATTAGCTATAATTAATTCCCATTACTTTTTTTTTTCTTCCAGGAAGGATTATTACTAAAACCATGATTTTTCTCCCAAACCTTAATTTTCCCTTGACCCAGCAATTTACATTTATTTCAATGATTCCAGATAACAAGCATGGTGCAGTTCATGTGCATTGATCCAGATTTAGGAAGCATTTTCATCTTCAGTTTTATTTGCTTCTCTTAGGGGTCCTATTTTGTAATGAATAAAACTTTCTTCTCATGGAGATTTGTCTGATGTATTAAACAGTATGATTTAAGGATTAGTTCAAGATCACACATATATTAGAAAAGAAATTTCAAGTATACATCTCTCAAAACTCATAGTCTGTCGCTTATTACTTCATTCAGTCCATTTACTTTACAAAGTGTGCAAACACATATTTATTGAATCCAGACATCTACCCTTCTAGACCCTGGTCAGGACTGCTTTTTGCCCAAGGTGAGTCAGCATGGCTTATCAGAATGGCTTGTCCTCTAGACCACTGTGCTGGTATCAATTGAGGCTGCAACCTCAGATGACCATTTACTGATGACAGGCAGACTCTGACTTATGAAGTATCAACTTTATCCACTTTATGATAATAGACAAAGAATGTGAGTTCAGTAGATGCTATACTTTGAATTTTGATCTCTTCTCCAAGTTTATGACATGTGGGTTTAGTGGTACACTATGATGGTACCAGCAAGCAATTACTAGAGCAAACAACTAATATTACAGAGTTAGCTCAGTTGCTAAACGATCCTGTTTGTTAGCTTAGGTGTATTGCGTGCTTGGGAGTCAATCCTATGAGAAGTTGAAAGGCTTCTAAGCCTGTTTGTAACTAATTTTCATGGAAGACATTTTTAGTTTAAATTTTATTCTGCATATGATACTGATATATCTTGAACCTGAGGATGAACCTCTGGGCCTAATTCTAGGCTAGCCATTCTTTCCCATCCAGAAACCTTACATGGGTGGCTACCAGCTCGACTTTGTTGAGGAAGAGCATTCTCAAGCTAGAGCCTAATCCCACAGACACTTCTTTAGCTTCTTGGAGTTGTAATGCAATATAGATTTCACACCTTTTCTGCGAACTAATCTTCATCATCAATTTATTCTTTATTTTTTAGGGGTTCTTATGACGTTTGCTGTCATTGTGAATTTTAATAAACTACTCACTTTCTCACATCTTAATATCAGTAACCACTCAGCAAGTTGGCTGTCTCCCCCCGCCCATTGGTTTTAACTTCTAACTCAGAGGGACTCAGAGGGCCTAAATCACAGAGTTTAAAATTTTAGTCATATGCTACTGTATCTTTGCCTTTGCTTTAAATTTTCTGCATTATGAAAATATCCCAACTTCAGTCTCTGACTTAATCCCCTCCCCAGCTTTAATTCATTCAGCAAGTTTTCTAAATGATATCTCCCTTCAATAGCTAATGGGTAGCCCATATTTGAATGTCTACCTCTAAGTCTGCAGTAGTCCCAGAATATCGCAAATATTCTTACAGTGATTTTATAATCTGCAGTCTGATCTATTACTAAAACTTCTCAGCTCAAGCTTCAACATATATCAAAAAATGAAGAATTCCAAAGTTACAAGCTTCATCCAGACCACCATCACTGCTTTTCCAGCTTCTATGATACTAGCAGTAGGGGGTTTCTGATGTATTTTACAAGAAGAAAGCCAATGTATATATTTAAAATTTAAAACGTAAATTAAATCATGGCCTTTCCGTATATTAAATTATTAATCTATTCTATCCTCAGGAAATATCTAAACATCTTATAATGAACATGTTGATTGTACAAATAATCCAAATCAAAGCAAAAAACAATCGATTACTTCTCTTAATATATTTCTGACATTTTTTTTTCCATTTTGTTTTTTTCTTTTCTAATTTTAATTTTGAGACAGATCTCACTATGTAGCCCAGGGTACCTAGCAATCACTATGTAGCTCAGGCTGGGATACTTTTTATTTTTGCATGGAATCTTTATCATTCTTTTTTTTTTTAAAAAAAAAAACATTCAAATTAGATTCAGTGTTCTAGTTTTTATCCCTTCTGTATATGGTTGTAGTTTAACAAGGTATAACCATGATCATTGTTTCTGCTCATATATCACTGGTTTAGAAGCACATAACCTGACTACTGTATATGTTTTATGATCCAGATATTTGCCTTTTCCTTCTTATTTTAGTCCTGATGTTTGAGTTTTTCTGTTACTGTTGCCCAACATCCCAGGAGATTATCACACTGCAAGCCTGGAGAAATGATTAAAATTCAAAATGTGAACTATGGATCTTAACATATATGTACTGCTTATATACCATCCTAAAGCTGGAAAATAATACATTAAACCACAATATTTTGGGAACCATTGATCTATCTATATCTATCTATCTATCTATCTATCTATCTATCTATCTCATCTATCTATCTACCATCTGTCTATCACCATCTATCTAATACATACATAATACATGCATGTACACGTATGTGTGTAAAAAGATAAAAGAATGCCTAAGCCAAGTAAGTGTATGTAAGTTCTGTTTGTCCGGAGAGGAATTTTACAGGATATAAGTTCTTCCCATTTTTTACATGTTTATTAGAAGTTGTAGTGAAAATGTTTTCACTTTTTCTTTAGGAATGCATGGGAACTTTGTAGGAGATATTTTTCTCCCCAGTGAGAATCAAAGAGGATTGCCCAGATATATAAAGAAAAGGTGGACTCAGAGTCATATATAAGAATAAATACTTAGAATTTGGGATATACTGATATGTTCAAGGGAAGTATTTACAGGCCTCAATGCTGAAGGTGTGACTTTTCTAAACAAATATAGAGGGTATTCTACTAAAGAGAGTAAATGGAAAAAGACTAGGCTTAGGAAGGAGTGGACATAGTGGATGTAGAAAAGACATCACTCACATAAATACTGTGAACACTGAGAACTACATTGTCCATATCAAACTAAGATTGTCCTGCAAGAAATGTGAGCAGGCAGATTGGAAAGGTTGAAATTCTCCATGAGGGGAGTCCTAGTGAGTTTTGAGGCAATATTCTTATAGTAATTGGGCATATCTCCTTTCTCTGTAACAGAATAATGGAGAAACTATGTATTTTAAAAGATTAACGTGGAAGATTCATGACATTTGTATTTTGCATTCACTCTTTGTTGTCCATCTCTAAAACTGTAGCATTTTCCTTGGAGATTAATAAAAAAAATTTCATTGGTTGTGTTTGTAGTAATATTGTTGGTGAAAATTTTGAGAAAATATATCACATACATAATGAATTACATGTTTTCATATAAAACACCACAATAACTCTGCTAGATATGGTATCAATAGCTTAGTTGATCATCTTGGCAGTTGTCTCACCAGCATTCCTTAGTTATACCCTTCATCATAGATAAATGTATACCAGTATAGTTAAATTAATGTCCTTACCTTCTAGCCCATTTCCTGGTTACCCTATTGCCTTTAATATGGTACATGCTTTATATTTTTTAATTTTTAAATTGCTAGTTTACAGACAGATGTATCTGTACAAAGACTCCCTATATTTATCTCTGAGAAGGATATGAACAAAAGGATAAAAACAAACCAGAGGCACCCTTTGCTAAAGTTACACAATGAACTACAAAACTAGAAGCAATAGATTGGAGCTTATTTATAAGAAAATGAAGTAAAGAGCAGGTCAAGGTCAAGAGGTAGCCACACAATAACTGTTTTCTATGAGGTCATTGCAGGCGGGGTCTCTGGTATATTTCTAGAGGGCTCTTCATTTGAAAACTTGGCAAATTTTGTTTTATAATCCTGTTTCACAAAACCAGACAATATTATTTTAATCCATTGGCACTTGCTAACATTATTCTCCAACAAATAGTTGCAGTCAAAAAGCAAATCTTGACTCATGTTTTCTTGAGTAAAGAACTTGGGCCCGAGAGATGGCTCAGCATTTAAGACTTCTGGCTGCTCTACCAAACGACCTGGGTTGGAGTCTCAGCAGAAGCATGGAGGGTCACAACTCTCTTTAACTCCAGATCCAGAGCATCTAATGTCCTCTTCCGACCTCCACAAGTACTAGATGCACATGATACACAGACATACAGGCAAGAAAAACATCCACACACATAAATAAAAATAAAATAGAAAAAAATTCTACATTTGTTAACTGGCCTACATTCTCTCAAGCAAAGAGAAAAGGAAAAGAATATTAAGAAAATGAAAAGGTCAAAGGACACAATTTAGCAATTTGATTTTACAAAGAATTTTTCCAGTCTCTGGAATGGAACCCTGGAGCTCAGGAGCATGACAAGAAACTGTTCCACAACTTAGCTATGTCCCTAGACTTCTACAAAGAAGATAAGAAATAGTTTCTTCTAGGCACAATTTTGTCTGATTATATCAGTTTTTTAAACTTAATTCAACAGTTTTTGGAAAGCAGCTCCTGTTACTTCACTAATTTTGGTATTTATAAAGGAAGAAAGGACTGCCAAGCCAGTGTCTAACTTGCATGAGACTAATCTGATCTAATAATTTTAAATCAAATGTGTGCATATTAACTGACCCAAAGCTATAGAAATAGACTATGATCTCCCTTCTAATTTATAAATAAGTGTTCTAAATGTGTATGTAAATTGCATTGCAGAAACTAAATACATCCTTTGAGCAAAGAAATTAGGTAGGCTTATGCAGGTAAAATAGGAGGGGTGTGAGAGTAGAATGAAGTGATTGGGGGAGGAGGGAGAAGAGGGAACACATCGAAGCTGAATGGGAGATAGGTTCTTTTTAAGTATTGGCTCAAGTGACTGTAGCTTTAAGTCTGTAATCCATAGGGCAGGAGACTCAATTCAGAGCTAATATTGCAGTCTTGAATTCCCAGTTCCCCAGGGCACCAGGCTGGAGAAGCAGAGTTTCTATGTTGTAATCCTGAGAAAAATTCCATCTTTCCTGAGAGACATCAGGTTTTGTTCTCAACATTGTCAGCTGATTGGATGAGGTCTATCCACACTGCGGAGATAATACACCTTTCTCAAAGTCTATTTATTTAAACATAAGTCAGCTTCACAGTAAAATATATACCAATGTTTGACCAGACAATGAGGCACCCCAGCCTGGTTACATTACACCTAAAATTCACTTTTGCAGCATGTGACATTATATATAGGAAAAAAAAAACTGCTATTGGGTGTTGAGATACAATCGCGTGTGTACAGATGAACAGATACATTGATCAACTACTGGAAGCAACCATGGAAAAAACATAACTGTTAGGACAGTCTGGTTGCTTTGTCACCCACCAACGATTCATTCCAATATGTCTTCTGAGAGGTGAAATTGTTATAATACCAGGTGGAACACAATCTATACAATATTTTCACTTTTGCTCTTACACAATGTAATCCTGGCTTAATATTATTCCCCTTTCCATGAAAATAAGTAAGTAGATTATTTCTCTTGGTAATTATCTCAATTCTTTGTATCTTGAAGAAGGAGAAAAACACCACATTGACTCTTCTTACCACCCACTGCATCAGGACCTCTGAGGACTTGATTTTCTATACTGTATTGTGTTCTTATCCATACATGTGCATGGATGATCTCACCTATATTTCCATTACTTTTCAACTTTCTATATAGTTTAAATAAAATTATTAGCTGTAATCAATAACTTCTTGGTAACTAAGATTAAGGAATCACCAACTTTGACTGTAAAACAGAAAAAAAAAAGATGCATTTGGCTCTGAATTGTAGTTAAATTCATTGGTTATTATTCCCTTGAGGCTGACTTCAAACAGTTTAGAAGGAGTGGGCTTTTCATACAAAGCAGTAATCAGAATATCGTAACTTTAAAATCTCAAATAGGCATGTTCGGCTCCATGAGCACATCTTATAAGAATCAGTGGGCTCATCTGCTTTCCCCTTAAGTCTGACCAAAACGATTTTCACAAGGAAAAAAGCCAGAAAGGGAACAAAAGTGGAATTATCCAATTTAGGGAACCCTGGGCAGAACAAATAATTTAATTTTAAAGTAAAATTTGCTAATAGGGAATAAAATTTAATATTATATAAAAAGATACTCATCCTTGAAGGAAACATTCAATTTGTGATAATACTAGGGAAATGTTCAACTGGGAAGGATGTCAAAGGAGAAATTTTTGGTAATGGGATGACCTAGAAAGAAGCCCAATAAACATGTTATGAAAGCAATATTACTGACAGGGGAGGAAGGCAGACGAGATGTGTTCTGCTTAAGCAACAAGCCTGCCAGTCAGCTTTGCTCACTGAATCTCAATAGTTTTGGTGAGGACTGAGGAAGCAAGATTTGCTGCCCCCATCGAAGACCACAGCAGGAATGCTACTTTGCAACATCTTTAAAAAAATCAGCAAAATAAAATTAATCAGATTATTTACCTGTACACTGAGAGTATGTAAGGATTAATGAGTTCATTATTGTGAAGAATTAAAGCACATTGGGATATCTGAGTGGAAAATGAAAATAATTATTTATGGCTTTGCTAGAATGTCTCAGTAGTTATAATTACATTGGAGTATAGACCCTGATTCTAGTTTAGTTATATGTTTTTTCTATTAAAAATTAAATGTGTCATAATTTGTCACTAGAAAAATTATTTGACATAACAAAATTGCAGCTAGGTAAAGCATGCTAAAAATGTGATACATTGATAAATGATCACTTTCTACCATTAATTTCTTTTTTCTATGATTTTTTAGATGTTTGGATTGATACTGTATAGGCTAGTGTATGTTTCTTTAAATGGAAAATATTTGTGTGATGTTGACTATTTTCTCTTTTAAATATGCTTGAAAATACTTTGAAACAATTTAATGAAAAAAATCAGTGAGAATATATTAAAATTACTAATTAATAAAAATGCAGTGTGCCTACTGTTTGCTGAGTCAAATGTAATAGAAAAAAGATTTGGTAAACGTTAGCAGATAACAAACAGCCTAGGACATGCTCAGAATTCTAGAATTCAAAATGCCGTAGAAAGGTCATAAAAGTGACCACATCTCTGGCAGTACCAAACTAAAAACTAATCAGCTTTTCCACTAATCAGCTTCTTCCACTGTGCCTTGGGCTTTACCATTTTTAGGAGATACTCCCTCCAGGTAACAGATGACCTAAATACTTTGATCTGTAGAAGGCAAACTGTTGGTGAAATAAAATCAGGATCCTGTATGTAAGGAACAGCCCCCATCTCACTTGTTCACACTGATTCTTTGATACCTATGTGTGGCCTGCTTCTTAAAAATTAAAAAAAAAAAAACAGATTTTGAAATAATTTGGTATTATTTTTTTAAAGGGGCGTGAGGGACACCCAACATTAGCAATGGTTGCTGACAAAGCCCCCCCCCCTCTCTCTCTCACTGTCTCTTTCCTGACCTCCCTGTTTTCTCTCCTGTTCATGATATTTTCTCCTCTTTTCTTGTTTTATTTTCTCTTTCATTTTTTTCTTCACCAAAGCTCATCTTATCATTGGTGAGCATTCCGTTAGCCTCAGAGAGCACAGATGCCACACAGTCTCACTTTGCAGGATCAGAGGCGTTGACAAGTTCAGAGAACTTGTTAAATATGAAAAATTTGGGATAGCATTTATTTTTGTATCTGGACAAATCCTCTGGCCACACCATCCTCCTCCTTAGCCAGTGATGTCTCATTCCTGCATTCTCTACATAGTGGGTGAAACAGGGTCTATTGGCAACTCAACTCAAAACAGCTTCCTTGATCCCCTTTCCTTTTCATTAGCCATATTTAATGCATTCAGTTTTTTAATTTATCTCTTGACTTCTGCATCAACACATCTCTGAAACTACCACTTTTATTTTTTTATTTAATATTTTTATTTTATAATTAGCTTAATTTCACATATCAGCCACAGATTCCCCTGTCCTCCCTCCTTCCACCACCCCCAGCCATCACCCTCAACCCACGCCCCATTCCCACCTCCTCCAAGGCAAGGTCACCCCTGGTGAGTCAGCCCAGCCTGGTAGACTCAGCCAAGGCAGGTCCACTCTCCTCCTTCCTACACCAAGGCTGAGCAAAGTGTCCCTGCATAGGCCCCAGGCTCCAAAAAGCCAGCCCATGCACCAAGGACATGTTCCGGCTCCACTGCCTGGGGGCCTCCCAAACAGTTCAAGTTCATCAACTGTCCCACTTATCCAGAGGGCCCAGTCCAGTTCCATGGGGGCTCCTCAGCCATTGGTT